AAAAAAAAAAATGTAGATATTCTTCTATAGTATTGTTTCTATTATTATTTCATTAATCTTCAAGAACGAGCTCCACCATGATTATGACTAATCTATAGCTTATCACAAAATGAATTCGATGTAGTCAAGAAAAATATTGATAAGAACTTAGCTAAGAATATTGTATGCCATCCTAAATCTCCAATAGGAGTTTTTATCTTATTTCTGAAGAAAAAAAAAATATATATATATATTACAATACCAAAGATATTATATTGAAAAGAGGGACTCAATTTATATTAAGATATTGATATCTTATTAGCTTGTATTTTATAGTACAAGCTAACAACATCATGCATATATAAGAAACTTGTCTTGTAACTTAAAACATAATTCTTACAAATTGGACATGTGTCAAAAGTCCAATAGAATGTTACTATATAGCTTTTATTTAGATAGTATATATAAAAGCAAGAATAAAGCCTTCTTCACTCTTGCCAATGCCTTTCTAATCCTTAGTCTTATTTCAAGACTTTCTAATTTTCTTGTCTTTGACAATAGCTATTCTAGTTTCAATACTATATTAATTTTGAATGAATATCTATTCTTTTTGAGTTATACAAGAATGTATTAAGTTTTTGATTCTTTGAGATTCATGTCCTTAATAAAAGTTGAAGCATCTTTTGAAGCCTTGAAGATAGTTTTTATTTTTGCATCAATCTTGTATTATATCAACTTTTCTAAGATATTCTTTATGAAAATAGATGCATCAAATTTTGTTAAGGATGTGGTGTTGTTACAAATAGGATCAAATGACAAACTCCACTTGATAGCTTTCCATTTTAAGAAATTTTTAGTAGCCAATATCAAGTACAAGATCCACAATAAAGAATTTTTTATAATCATAGATTCATTTTAAGAATAATACCATTACCTAGAAGGTGCTTTCAATCCAATCACCATATATATAGATCACAAGAATTTCAAGTATTTTATAGCAATATATGTTTTGAATTTTCTCGAAGCCCATTGAAACATGTCTTTATCAAGATTTGATTTCAAGATCACTTATTAATCTAAAAAATAATAAGGTTTGTGCAATGGCTTTTTTAGACATTCTTATCTTATGTCTAAAGAAAGAGATGTAGCTTTTGATTAACAAAGAATAATTTCCTTGAATTTAAAGTAATTTCATCATTCAACAATAAAATCAACATTTATTATTGGTTCAATATTTCTCAAGCAAGTTCAATCAAGTATGTCCTCTACTCCTTTTATTCATGATATTAGGCATAATTCTTTTAAGTTTCATAATACTTTTAATTTTAAATTTTAAAATAGTTTATTCTATTTTAAAAGATGATTATATATTCCAAAAAGTAAAGCATGATTATGTATTCTTCAAGCTTCTCACAACTTTCTCAGAATTGAACATTTTGGATACAACGAGACTTTGAAGCTAATATTGAGTGAATTTTGGTTGCCTCAAATATAGAGGATAGTCAAAAATGTTGTACAATTATGTGATATTTTTTTAAGATCAAAAACTCCTTATCATTGACATTATGGACTTCTTCACCTATTATCTATTTCAAAAAAAATATAGTCTTTTTTTCCATGGATTTTAGCACAGATCTTTCAATCTTAAGTTCTTATGATTTTATAATTATAATAGTAGAGTATTTTACCAAGATGGTATATTTTGTACTATATACAAAATCTATCATAGGTGAAGAAACAACAAAGCTTTTTTTTGACAAAAACTATTGCTATCATTGATTATTCAAGGATATTATATTAAATAGAAGGACTCAATTTGTATTAAGATTTTAAAAAATTATTTTTAAGATTCTAAAGGTAGATATAAAACTATCTTTGGCTTTTCAACCTCAAATTAATGGACAAATGAAATGCAATAGCAAGTTTTGAAGCAATATTTGAATTATACTACCAACTACTAATAAGATGATTAAAAAAATTTTTTATCATTAGAAAAATTTACTTATAATAATACCATATATTCCATTCTTCTATGCAACAAAAATCTTTTTTTGTTAATTATGAGTATCATCTACAACTTGATGTTTTAACTTTTCAAAAATTGATAATCTTCTAACAAAAAATTTGATAAATTATTTATTTGAGCTATATATAAAAATAAAGGCTCAATTAAAAGAAGCTCAAGAATAACAATAGACCAACATAGATGCCTATTTTAAAGAACGACCTCAATTCAATGTTTGTAATAAGGGATGGTTACTTTGTTGCAATGTGAAGATTAGCCATTCTTAAGACAAGTTGGATTATTATAAGCTTGGATCATTTCTTATTTATGTATAAATCAATCTAGTTGCTTATAGATTATACCTACTCAAATCTATAAAGATCCATCTTGTATTCTATAAGTCTCTTCTTCAACCATATAAGACAATAAAAATCTTGAAAAGAAAATAAATACCTTCTTCTTCTATAGAAATAGATAATAATCAAGAATTTAAGGTAGAAGAAGTTTTTGATTTAAGGCGCTACCAAAATAGGTTAGAATATCTTATTCATTACAATAAATATGATATTAATAAATACATATATGAGCTTGTTAAAAATCATGAAAATGTAGCAAAGAAGGCTAATGTTTTTCATTGATAATATCCATCAAAATTAAGATGAAGAATATTAAATCTTACTATAAAAGAAATATAATTTAAAAAATATCATATTTTACTTTCTATCTATATTTATAATTTATGTATATTTTTGGAATTAAAAAGATAAAAAATTAACAACTAATAAATTCAACTCAAGAGCTATTATTTATTAACTTACTAAACAAGACATTGCAATTATCACAATCTTTAAGACAATGTAATAGAGATGAAATTTTTTAAGAATAATATATTCTTTCTTAAATAAATGGCAAGATATAGTGCATTTGATATCATGACCTTAGAAGAAACTCCTAATGTTTAGTGATTTTACTAGAGATAGAAACAAACCTTGATAGTATTACAAATGTTTTGTTTGAAAGAAGTTACGAAGGCCTCAACAAAAATCAAATTATAGAGTGGTCTTCTTACTCTGAAATGGGACATTATTGATGACTAAGAGGACTTATTAACTACTTTCAAAGGAAAAAAAGATCAAAGTATGTAGCAAATATAATTTGTCATATCTTAGATTTCATCAATATATGATTATTGCTCCTCATAGAATTTATTTCTAAAAAAAGAGATAATATCATATACATACATATTTATTTCAATAGTTATCCAAATAATATGAATATGTAGAAGTAGATTAAAGTAAAAAAATTTGATAATATCTTGTAAAAAAGCTTCTTAGAAGCTTTATAAACATAGCTTTGACTTTATACATGTTTGTAGTTGTTTAATAGGTTAGAAACTTAGCCAACAACTTCATTATATGTCACATGTGTTGGTAGCAAGTAGTATAAGCTAGTTATGTAGTGTATATATAGAAAACTTGTCTTGCAAGTTAAGACAAGTGCCTCACAAGTTGAACACATGTTGGAAGTCCTATAGAATATTGTTATATAGCTTCTAGTTAAATAGTATATATGGAGGCAAGTGTAAAGTCTTCTTTACTCTTGTCAATGCTCTTCTAGTATTTAATTTTATTTCAAGACTTTTTAATCATCTTGTTTTTGGCAATAACCATTCTAGTTTAATATTATATTAGCTTTGAATGTTTATCTAGTTTTTTTTATTGACGTAAGAATATATTGATCTTTTGGCTCCTTGAGATTCATTTCCTTGATAGCACAAGGTTTGCTACTTTTTTTCTTTTTGTACTAAAATAGTCCCTTGCCAAATAATCTATTGTAAGGCAAAAGCAACAACAAATTAGGAGGTTTCAATAATTAATTGTGATGATAGTTTTTTTTTTTTATTGCTCACATTACCAAAAAGAGCATATGCTAGCCTTTTCTTACTTGTAAGGCCATACAAAAACGTTGGTCTACGGTAATTGAATTCCAATTGTTGTTTCCAAACAAAGCTCTCACATCAGATGCAATTTGGAGGGCCACCTTTAGAAACTCATCAAAAATACCTTTAAGTATTATCCAAGTTGGAACACATAATCCTTTCGGCAATTTGGGATCAAATCCTATCAATTAAGTTTGTAAAATGTAGGTGCTCCATCTGAATTGATGGGAGGTGAGGGTAAGGATCTTCTACATTTCCAAAATTTGATTGCATACAATTCGGAAAAATCCTCCTTCCAAGATGCGGCCCAACTCAACTTCTGCCGTTGTCCTTAGTTCTCCAATCCATAGTTCATGCAACTAATGCACCATTCCTGCTGGTGCGTTAATTTCAACGACCAATAATTACCAGTAATTCCGTAGCTCAATATCTTCTCAATCATGTTTGATGGATTGTGGGAGGTTGAAATACGTTTACGTGAATTTAACATCTGTGGTAAGGGATGTAACTGGGGATTCCGAGACTCCCTGGCTTAATTTTCTTCCTGGATAATCGGACAATTCGAAATATCTAACACCCATTGATTATACTCAAATTGATAAGATGAGCTGCTTTCCATGCTTGCTTAGTCCTTTCTGGGTTGCCGCGCTTCAATCTAGATTCAACTAGAAATAGACAGATAAGAATGCGTTTTGTCGTCTTTGATGGAATTAGATTGTCGGTCGTACATGTAAGGTAGATTCAGGTTTCATTGAGAAATTTTTTCCACATTACAGAGCAATTTGTTCAAGCTCCACATCAGCACGTTAATGTTGAGATCAAGTTCCCGGGAACAATAAAATGTTTTTATTTTGCTGCACGGGACATTTTTGAAATATCTACTTGTGACGGAATGTGGAATGTTGATCAGTTGTTGACATGTCTTTCATGTTTGAAGCGAGTGCACCTCCCCTTGTTAATGCACTTGTACCTTATTACGAATGATAAGTTGAATGAGACATGTAGAAATACAAAATACATCAATTTAGCACAACGTTAACTTTTGAGAAGCAAATAAAGAAAACCTTTGAGCCCATCTGTTAGTAAAAGTTTCATAATGTTTATTGTGTTCACAATAGGAGATAACCTCGGTGGAATCAAATAGCCCTTGAGCCGATTCACCCAAGAGTAGCTATGAAGCTTTACATTGGCTGGAATCAAAGATATCTCTACAGAAATGAATCCTCAAGATAATTTCTTGTGTGATACTTATTGCATCCGTCCCTCCGCACTTTCAATCAATGATTCCCACTAGACCTTGTATACTCCCTGTTCTTAGTTTTCAAGGGCGTATCCAATTTTTCCCTAATATATTTATATAGCAAAGTTCCTAGAAGTCAAGAAAGAAGCCAATATCCTCTAGGACCCCATCATAGTCAGAGCTGAAGGGGATTTGAACCTTATTGGTAAAATCGGAAATTATTAGACCCTTTAATTAGTAGCAGGACAATAGCATAACATAACCTCTAAATTCTATATAGCAGAATCAACTGAAGATCTACTAACGTTGAAAGCCCATTAATATTCCTGGATTCATCGAATGCTCAGTTTCTTTCAAGGAGAATCGTCTGGTGGCCAACGATGGGATGGAACACCGGACAAGCAATGTGACAAGGTTGAGTATGAGAAACGAGCAACTTTTGAATAATCGCGAAGACTCCCTCGAACATTGATTGACGTGAAACATCTAGCGATACTCATGTCCATTGTACCCGCAAGTCCCTTGAATACACTGGAAGCCGCGAGGGCACCTAATATTACACCTCCCGCAGTGATTTGAGTTTCTTCGTGAGTCATAACATCTCCCGCCGCAGCAGATTTCGTTCCATGAGCATCTCCTGTTGCACGCCCCGCAGTTGTTTCTGTCTGTGGCACCAATATCCCTGCATTGCCTCCTCGGACTACTGCAGCAAACAGGCCTCCTCGATCCCCTGGGAAGAATCCTTGCGCAATTGTAGGCAGGAGAATTGCCTTGACCGCAAGGGTCCTGAATATTTAGGAGGCTTCGTCCTGCACCAGATTCCTCTGTCAACCTGAACCTACCACCGGGTCCATGATGCGATGAGGAGGTCGATGGAATGCCTCGATCAGTTACATCATCTGAATCATGGCTCACATGGGCGGCCGCCACCACCAACACACCTAGAAGCACCACTTTCAACAAAACGAAGCGAGGAAACGCCATACTTTGGTGGAAAAAACTGGATCAGCCACTGGCTCAGAACCACTCGCCTGTGGTGTCCAGGTGAGACGCAGCAGGTCTCGGACTGCAGAACTCTCAGAGAAAGCTTGGTGTTTCGACTGTGGAAGTCGTTTGGTGTTTAAATAGTGATCCATGTTCAGTCGAGTGGCATTGAAAAGGATGCTGTACAAAGCGGTACCGTACTTCCAGAAATCTCAGGCTCGGCAAAGTGTACAATAGTGCATAAGAAATACGGAAGCATCACCATATCTTCTAGTCGATTAGAGTTGACCTGGAAGTTGTGGTTCCTCGTGGAACGGGTGCAGTTCCGTTACGTGCTGGGCTCAGAGGTGCCTGTGATTATGTGCAACATGGAGTGCGACGCCATGTCGCCAACTAACGTTGCTATAGCCACGATGAACATCTGTGATCCAACGTCAGTGGACCAAAATCAAGGAGATTTTTGGTCATAGCAGCCACAAGCTAACTCTTTGGTAAGGGTAAGAATATTCATCTGTACTAGTTTGCATGCATGAACTAAGTGCATTAAACACAATTCATGTTCGCCACATAGAACTCTTGTACATAATTTCTTTGTTAAATGGTAAAGGCAATATCGACATATTCTACTCATCTTCGAAGATGTAGAGTCGCTGGAACTTCCGGCTGGTTTTGCACGTTGATAATGCATCGTGGTTTGCAGGCCCAAAAGTTTCGGGTTAACACAATAGGGTGTGCACTTTCTCAGTAATAACCTTTATGCGATGGTCTCCTTCTTGGGGAAAATAGAAGCTTAGATGGGATGAAGAACAACCATCATCCGCCACTTCCGTTTTGAAGCTCATTGATAAAGAGCGCACTTGCTTAGCATAGGACTTAATGAGGATTACTGAAGTAGAGGTGGTTGTTGTCACATTTTCCCAAGGGGTCGTGCATGAAAGCTATATTAGGGTATCTGTAACGAATCTAATTTATTACAACAAGCATTGCAGAAATCTGAGGCTTGAATAATAACTGCTCCTGACAAGCAATTCCGATGTCACGGGAACTGCTGGCTTGACAAAGGAAGCGGTGACTTCCTCCGGATTCTCTGGTGCTGACTTTGGTATGTCAGCTAAAGTCAAAGACAGGGAGCAGCTGCGTTTCCACGACACATTGTGCTTTTTGTTCTGTACCTGAAGACTCCCTCTACCAATCATGTTCGTATATTTCTGTTTCACTTTTACTAACATTACGCACATGAGCGTTGTTTATTTGTGGACGCGCATCCTGTGTGGTCGAGGATGAGTGGGTCGTTCTCGTTTGTACTGCAGAGATTCGAAAACTTTCTGTATGTAAAAGACGACTCTCGTAAGAGTTCTCGAGCTCGATGTAAATGGAGCCACGTTCCAACTTTGTCCACTCCGTCCTGTTCGGTCGATAGCAGTTCATCATCAAGTGCAATACAATTCGACAAATGGTCCTTTCACACGGGACAATCGTACTCAATCAGATGTGAATATAAATCGGTGTTTGAATGTTGGCGCAAATTTTAAACACATTTTACTGAAGTAGACTTTGTAATTCTAAAGAGCCAACATAGATCTTCAAGGATTGTTGACTGCGTAAGTGATTGCTTCCGTGATGGCAAAGGACAACGTCCTGGCCGTACACAACTGTAAGTACTTTCGATTTGAAAATGGTCTTCGATGCGCATACGTGGGTCTCCCACACACAAGCGATCGACCTAGAAAGAGCATCGAGCATGGCCTTGATGAGATTGCTATGAATCACCTGAAGTATCTTAAATTGCCTAAATTTGACCGGGATGGTCTGTTTATATTTTGGCTGACGACTTTCTCTTCGTCATTTTGGACGAAGCTTTCGCCGTCCCTGCAGTGGCAGCGGGGGCGGCCAGACCAACTACAGGCCTCGGTGTAATAATCGCGCTTCCTTGACCTTCCAGAACTAGCCTGTGACCTCTACCACGGAAGGCTTCAATCCAAATAGTCTCGGCGTAAGCGAGGGGCTCGAACGGAGAGAATGTTATAGTGACTATTTGCTTGTATACTTCGCCCATACAGCCTTCTCTGCCAGGTATTCGTCCACTCTCGGGAGTTGCCTTCCATATCACCGGCCATCTTTTGTTGAGGTCCTTCAAATGCTGCTGCAATTACCATATTGATTCGCTCGTATGTTAATCAAGCAAAGACACCAATCAACTAAACATTCATAATGCATCTAAGTGAAGGGTTACAAAGAACGCACCCAATTGACGAAACCATCAAGCTCAGCACACTCAACCATGTCTAGGTGGCTCTTTTCTGTCACAATACGCCAGTCTAAAGGAACAACGCTTGTATTTGAAATGGTGAAGTCCTGACACCGCGCGCAATCGGGACAAACTACTGTCCCGAACGAGAGGATCTCCGTCTGCAATGTCACCTCAGGATACCGGATGTCTCCATACATAGTGATTATCTACACAGTCGTAAGTTTCTTGTCAGAGCACATTTCAGGCAATCAAGGTCTAGACTTGAAGGTTTCGGGTTTGAAATAAAATGTCTCATCTCACAGGTCCTTGGATAAATCTAATGATCGGAGCATTGATCGTTCACACCGAATCACTTGATACATCAAAAATTAAAAATGGAAGCACTTTTCAACAATTCGGTTTACCTGTTTGTGTCTATCTTGGAATGAAATGACAAGTTCTTGTTCAATAACTTCGTCTTCCGGATACCAATCTCCATCATTAAGGAGAGGTCTGAATCGAAGAGAAAGTTGCAGAGTCCAATCTGCCAGTAGCCTGTAGTGACCCGGCTCAGGTTCCCGCACTGGGTCTTTTATTATTGACAAACACCGTGTAGCCGCCCCATCAGTGATCGGCTCAACGATGCCATGGGTCGCATTCAGCACATAGAAAGGTGGAGGCGCCACAATGGAGAACAGAATGCGCTCGAGATATGTGTTGGTTAGAAACAAAGACTTCGTTTCAAATCTTTGCTCAATGGGCAGACTTCCATGTACTAAGAAACTTATGTTATCATCCACATTACAATACAACCTGCAGAAAGAACAATAACATTAATAACGTGGCACAACAATCACAACTCAGGCAATGAATCCCACACAAAACTTTAAGCGAGTTCTTAAACCCTAAACCCCATCCACACAGCATTGCAAGCGCACTCATTTCAATGGCAGTTTTCAATAGCCTTGTCTAGACCGTGCAAGTCTCGAACCAGTGAAAGTTTTAAAAGGCAGTAACGCCTGCCTCACAACAAGTAAGCATTGAGACTACTGCCAACCCCCTTAAATATATAGATCCTTCCAACTCTACCCACATCATCGATTCAACAAGAAAACATAAGAAATACAAAAAGCAGCAGCAGCGAGACATAGAACTTCTCACCTTGGAACAACAAGACGAGCAACGACAGTCACACGCAGAGGCTGGATCAGATCAATCTCCTGGTTGGGAGCAAACGCATCCGTGATCAGAGCATTGGGAATGTCCAGAACGCTCACTGCATAATTCCCTTCCTCCGCGATTTCATCACTAGCCACCTGATCGAACATGTCATCCTCGTGGTTCAGTCTGTGGACTCCTGATTTTTTCCTCCCGAACTCAGCCCACGCTCCCCCTTTCTTACTAGACTTCCTCTGATTCAGCTGCTCCAGGTGCACGTGGTCCCCTACAGACGTCTTGTGCACCAGCAGCGACTGGAACTGCGAGGTCCGTTTATTGAAGTATGTGACGACGTGCTCGCAGACGTGCATTGTCGACGGACGCCTGTAGATGAACTGCTTGTCTAGTTTCTCGAGGGTACTATCGAATGCGAACTGCGGTGCCTCTGCTTTGAGCTGGAACTGACCGTCGTGGATCAGCGTTCTGCCGATGAAGATCGCCTTGTAGCTCGCGGCTTCCGAGCACTGGAAAGTGACGGAGAATTGGCTGCTGCGCTGGCCCAGTATCACCTGCAGTGCATGGCTGTTTCGGTGACTCCGCATGAATCGAAGTCTTGAACTTATCTATCCAAAGCATAACGATCTCAAGATGTTCAAATGGGCAAAACAAAGAAGGGATTTGATGTTGCTGTGGGTTTGGTATTGTCTATAGAAATGAAACCAGCTGTGCTTTAATGGGTGGGTGTGACGGTATTGTTGAGAATTGGGTAGATGTTGATGCAGGTGTTGAACCGAATGGTTGCGAGTGAAGAATTCGCTGTGAATTTACTGTGTTTTGTGAATGCCAAGAATCGATCGCACATACCTCTACTGTAATAGTGACAAAATAGGTCGATTTAGGATTAGAATGGTTGTTGTTGAAAGTATATGAAAACGGATTGGGTAATGATGTGTAAGTTACTTGTTTTTGTGGAACAATTCGAAATGGAGGAGTTTCTGCTTTTGGATATGGCTCCATGAAGTCTTGAAATGTTAAGTGTATTTTGTTTTTGAAGTCAATGCCCAAGTGCTCTTGAATGCAAACCTGATTAGACAGGAGCCAAACCAAGTGTAAGGAATATTTTTGTTTTATGGTTTCAATAAAGAAACTGTATATATATATATATATATATAATCCTTTAAATAACATTGAAATATTATCATTGAAATTAATGAAATGAAACTTCATGAATAAAGTTCATTTTGTTCAAATAGAAAATATGATATTGTATAATCATGAATAATTAAATCTAATGTATATCTTCTAAACAGATTTTCTTTAAAACTATAATCACAAGTTTCAGAATCAATTCTTTTAGCAAGCATGAATCAATTCAACATACTCTAATGATCCAATCTTCTCCATTCCTCTCCGGAATTAGCATACAATGTAACATATTCTCATGATTTTCTTCAATGTCAAAAACAACTTTGACATCAAGATCATCTTCATTTAACATGGGCTTCATTATTTGCCATTCAACCACCATATTGAAGGGTGATGTATTATAGATCCAAAATGCTCGACGCACAACTGGGTTCCCCACTGGCATTGTGTTCCACGTCAACACAAGCTCAGGAGTTTCCTTAATATCTTGTAATCCACTAGGCTCTAAATAATTGATTCTTGAAACCAATGGATTTCCCACCAACTCAATTTCTACAGGTATATAAAATGGCAATAGCTGTCCTATCTGTTCAAATATTTACATATATTAGTATTTTTATTATTGTTTTTCAAAAGGTAGAATTCACTTCAAAAAAAAATCATGTGTGTAACATATTTAAAAGAAAACACCAATCATACAACCATTTTAAAAATAAATTAAGTACATTTTTGTAATATATAGAAAACTTATATATAAAATGTTTGAAAAATCATTAGCATTACTTCTTTTATTTTTCTTTTGCTATATCTGAAAAAAGGATTACCTTCACAACAAGAGTGTCTTTGTAAAATCCAGGTAAAGTGCTAAAACACACAACTTCACATGACCATTCAGACCATGGTTGTAAAACTCCAGTAGATAAAGGATATATTAAAAATCCCACACTCTGGCCTTCTTTGATCATGGCTTCATGCATTGCACCTTCAATTCGGCGCCACACCATTGACTTTCCCATGCTAGAAAAAAAACGAGAATGGTTTGCATCTTGTGGTGCAAGTGATGGAAATTGTTGTGCTTTATTCGTCAAGGCTGATTGATATGGATCTCGGTGGTTCACAGTCAAGGTTGACAAGTGGCCTGTCAAAGCTGAAAGCATCCATAACTCATCTTCCACTAAAGCAAACTCAGGTTCACTTGGATGGTTTGTGACTCGCACATGTACATTTGCTTCTATGGGCGAGTGATTTTGAATGAGGAGCTTGAATGAGTGAACACGATGCACAATGTTACGCCGTCCAAAGTCCAAACATGGGACTTTAGGATCATCAAGAGATGGGGCTTTGTAGCATCTACCACCACTTATTGAAGGTCGACCATACATTCTTTCATGTTGCAATTTCCCAATCCTCTCAAAAGCAATGCTACGACCAGATTGTTGGTACCCGTCATCCACTTCTAGACGAAACACATGAAAACTCACTTGTATGTCAACAATGAATGCCTTGAGCAACAATCCCAATGGAAATTGTTGTTTCCACACTTCACACACCAAAATGCATTCAAAAGGACCAACCCCTTGTGGATCAAATGTAAATGTCAATTCAACTTCTCCCCTTGGTGGAATTTTGCCGGATCCTTGGGACCAAGAAATTTGAGCTTGCTTGTGATCCCCAACTCCGTCATTGTTCCACCAATTGTAACACACAGGCAGTGCTCGTAAGTTTTTCAAAATGACAGTCCTTTCAATTTTGCAATGTAGATATTGAATCCCTAAGTCCATCATTGGTGGAAGCAAACAGGCTCTGGGCGCATCAATCTCTGCTCTGGCCACAGCCATACTTGTAGGACCTGTTAACTCTGCTACATTGCAAATAATGGCTAGACGCATGTACCCAAGTCTGGTTCCCTTCAAAATGGCCTGATTGAATAATAAAACAATAAACAACTATTTTGATCCATTATTCATGATCTCACATGTCAAATTATAAGTACTTCCATTTTTTCTCAATAAAAATGGAAAAATCAAATCACAATCTCACCCCATGTCATCATATCCCACTTGTATCAAAACTACATACCCTTATGGTACATGATTGTTCTTTTTCAAGCACTCCGGAACTTGGGTGGAAGATGATCTTTTGTTGCAAATCATCTTCGGGATATGGCACACCCTTCGGGTACCATACTCGTCTACAAACCTTCACCAAGGAAAAAGACTCTATGAGATCCGTTGGACCAAATTGTTCATTTTTTGTTTGTTGGCATGAGTGTGGGGAAGGAAAACCCATTTTAAACCCTTGCAAAGCATCACCATATGATGATAATGAAACGGGTTTGCCTCTCGAGGTCAAAATTTTGTCGTGTTCAGGATCATGAACTGTGTACAGTTTGAATGTGGCTTGACACCCACTTTCATTTGTTAATATGAGATCCTGATTGTATGTGCTTCCAATCTGGCATAAAATTTTGGGGACGTTATGTACAAGCCTTTTGTTTTTTATTATTATTATTATTACAATCTTTTCAAAATAATATGGTAAATTTTGATACTAACATAATAGTAAATATCTTTACATTCATACCATTATTTCTCCTTCTAAGTAAAGCAGTTAAAGTCATAAATAATTAAAAAAAATATGAATATGTAGATTTCGTACTTGTATTAAACCATAGTCAATAACAGCAGGTGTTATACTTATACAAGGGCCCCTTGTATGCCCTGAAATTTGAAAAAATATTTCAGCTCCTTCCTTACTGCTTTCATTCAAACTTGTTATAAGACAGCGGCACACTTTGTGAAAAGAACCAACTTTTCTTGCTTTCACAATGGCATTAACATCTAGATGCTCGTAACCTTGAATTTCACCCGAAAATGGTTCAAAATAAACCGCATTGCTGCAGACACCATTATCGTACACTGTTTTAGGTCGCTCCCATGAGAATTTTACTTTTGATCCACTATTGTTTTGGATTTTGATCTTGTAATTCCGAACCGTTCCAATTGTGAGCCCACCAGCAATGCTTAGAAAAGAAGGTATGCATTGGACATCTATGGGTATTCCACACCCGCTTGTTGGAAATTCTAAAACCTTGAAAACACTACCCATGTTATCAACTCTTTCAATTGTAAGTTCTTCATTTGTAAGATTGTAGGGTTGTGTTCCAACACTCATTCCACTTCCATTTTCATTTTCAAGAGTCAAAAGCTCATTTTTGACATGTTTCCAATTGTTTGATGCAAGAGGATGACTAGCTCGAGTATCAACATACAAGCACATCATTTGTTGATAGCTTTTGAAATTGGTTGGTGTAAAACTTACAATAGCCTCCATCTCACTCAATGCTGGAATCACACCAAATGTAGGTTTAATCACAAATTCAAGTTGAGATTCCACACCAATGTTTTCTTGCACAACACTCTTTGAAGTTTTATTTCCTTTGGAAGTGATTTCATTTGTTGAGGCAATTTGGGTTTCTTTAGAATTTAACCAATAAAAACGTAGGGGAACCTCACAATCATTTTTGATTGATACAAAATGACTTGATGTTGTTCCAATGGTGCAACTACCAAATGGGATGCCCCTTTCAAACTCTCCAACTCTCCATTCTCTTCCATCAAACTTATTACATGTTACTTGAAGTGCCACACCATGGCCTTTCACAAGTATTTCCCAATGGCGGCCCATTGATGTTTCAATTTGCAACACTCCACCAAAGGGTCCACACTTCGAAGGTTGAAAGAGGACAATCAAATCTTGTGTTTCATTCTTTTTTAGTTTTGTCTCTTGAGGGTAGGCTAAGAATGGAGGGAAAAAAATAAGATTCTTTTCAATGTAACGCTCTTGAAGGCCTACATAACGAGGGTCTTGGGTCCATTTGGTGCCCATTAAAGTCCACTCTAAGTCATTACAAAATCCATACATTGCAAAATGAGCTCCAGCCTCTTTGCATGTGAATGTGTAAGAAGCTGCTACTGAATGGTTTGTAAGGCAATAACCCAAATTGATAATATGGGGGAATACCACAATTGGAAAAGGATTTATTGACTTTAGTGTTATGACAACCGTATCCATTTCTGATTGAACTTGTATCTCATCACTACAGTCAATAGCTGATCTTGGTTTGAATACAACATCAAACCGGCAAAACATGCCTGATATCAATATTTTCCCTTGAAATGGATCTTCTTTGGAAAACATAGAAAATTTGTCACCAGATGGTTTTATGAATCTGATTAAGAGAAGTCTTTTATCATTAGAATTGATCTTGCATGTATTATTGTAAACATTTCTTAAACATGACAGAAAATTGTCAAATTAGTGAATCCATAAATATTTATTTGTGTGATAACTTTCATTTACATTCTAATGAATTTTATTAGCATCCATTTTTATTCGTTGACATTTGATACAATCACATGATAATTAGTTCTGTGATTGTGTGTGTATTTTTATATGCAAACATAGCTATGATTTTTTGGATTTATTTTACCGAAGGCGTTGGCTCCAAGGACTTTTATTCATAACATGCAAATGTGCTACATATGTTTTTTCAGGTTCTGCAATGAATTTTGAAAAGCCTTAGGTCCACCATACTTGGATGCTCAATCCTAAAAGTAACAATATGAGAAAATTATGTCCAAAATTAATTTTAATATTTCTTTCAACTAGAGCATATAAATCCCAATAAGTATTTCATGACATAATAACTACAGAAGAATAAATCAATGTTAAATAAAAATTTGAAGAAAATTCCAGAGAAATTTACTGTATTTTCATTTTATAAAACCTACAGAATGATTTGGTCTTTTGGAAACTCATTCTGTTTTGGTCTGTTGTAAATCTCATTCACTGAAATTTTCGTTTTTTATCTAAATATTTTTAAGTATTTTTAAAATTATTTTTCATTTAAAAAAATAATAAATACATGGGAATCTATATGTATATTCAAAATCTTTTTAAGAAGTTATGAATGAAAGAAATTACCATAGCCATCAAAAACTAAAATTGGTGGATTCAAATGAATATATTCTTTCATTGCTTTAGCCGGAGACTCTATCCAATATGGCAAACATCTAGTTGGGTCTTTTTCTCTATAAATTTCTAAAGCCTAGAACCAACCAAGTCATAATCCAACAACAAGAATATATTTCAATTTTAGTTGTTGAAATTTTTTTATTTCACATACTACAGTACTTTTACAAGTTGATTTCATATTACATCATCTTAGAGAAAAAAAACGCATACAACTCAAATAAACACCAACCTGAGAAGTCTTTGGTTCTCTACAAAATCGAGGATTATTCAAGTAGTTGATCTTTAGCATCATTCTTTCAAGTAGCTGACATTCCTGATTACATTAAATAGGGTTTTTTTTTTTTTTTTTTTCCTTCAAAATAAAATAAACAACAAAAATAAAGAAAATGAAAAAGAATGGAAACAGTTAGGTATGAATTTATGCAATTTTTTCATAATGGAATAATTTCCAAAGATTTATCAATCCAGCATTGGTACCAATATCATGAATTAGACTCAATTTTAAATCATACCAAAACATATTGTGCCGCGGGCATTTCATGTCTCCACCTTTCGCGCTCTTCCATGGGCAAAAGTTTATATCCTTGACTTGGTTCAAGAGTGATTGTGTATGGGATAGTCTTGATTTGTTGATGAAACCCCATTTTGAAAAAATACTTGAAAGGCCTCCTAAGATGCTTGTTGCTATGATTGTGTAGACAAGGTCTCCATGATTGTCGAAATGACCGCCTCCATGGACGCAATTGATCTTCTAAAAACTTTTCCTACACACAATCCATTGTAAAGAGTTGTGCCACTACAATCCAAACATTCCATGAAAAATCCAAAATTTCAATGTGAAAAATTGAATAAAAAGTCCATTATAAAACTTAGGTCATATTTATATTTTAAACAAGGTTATAAAAAATAAAAATAAACCTCTTTTAGTTGGATAAGTTTAGCCGTCTCTTTGGCTTCAATCAATTGTTTATCCTCTTCAATATCTCCACCCAAATCATTTGGACTATCAAACTCACGTTGATTCATGAATACAAAATCATCTTGATTATTTACTTGAATTCTACCCATTGGTTCCATTTCATTAAGGAGAAGGTTGGCATTGAGCTTTGGAAGTTGTTCATTGCTTTCTTCATTGCCGTAGCTGGAAATTCTCCAACTTGATGTGCGGGCTTGAATTCGGGAGAATTGTTTCAAGTGTTTAAAGATCTCTTTGGAAGCTTTGTTGGATTGAATTCGATGATGTTCCCTTGCCCAAACCTTGTGCCATTGAATGCACTCAATAGTTTTTTGATGATTGTGAAGAGGTGTTTTAATGGTAGGATGCCATTGTCTATCTTGCCGATCATACCAATCAATTAAACCATCTGTCTGCAATAAGTTTAATCATTTTTTTTAATGAAAAAACAAAATATATATATATATATATATATATATACATTTATTAATTCAATTATATTTATAATTTAGAGTTTATTTTTAAATGTTGAATATATTTTGTCAAAGAAAAAAACTAAAATTTTGGATTGCATCTTGAAAATAGGATACAACTATGTGATGTAAGTGGTGATTTTTTGAAAAAGTAGTTTTATGTTTGTTATAATTTTTTAAACAATATAACGATTGGTTTTTGGATTTTTGTCTACACACCTTCCATGCATTTGGATCAAGATTTGCAATCTGGTATATGATATTGTTTAATATAGCATTTCCAACTTCTGTAGCAAGTTTCCTATCAATTTCTTGAATACTCTCCATCACATCACCCTTAAAAAGATTGTATTCAGATAAATAGCTTTAAAGAGTCTACCACTAATACTTAATTACAGAACCTAAGACTTGTAATTTTTTTTTTTTTTTTTTTTTTTCGGTACACACACACTAGGGTATACATTGGGTCTAAAATCTCACAATTAGTAACCAACCTCTTCATAGGTGTAACAACTTTCAAGCACTCTCATTCAAAATTTTGAAACAAATTGCATTTTTGTAGCCTTTCAAAAAATAAAGATATTTAGATCCTAGAGAATCTTTAGAAGCCGTTCAATGTTTCACAACAAAATTTGATAATTTTAATGGATACACATTATTCCTTTAAGTTTTGTCTAATTAAATTTTTTCTTCAAAATCATATATTAGTATATTTTTTAGAACTTAATTTGTATTTGTATCTCAAACTTCTTTAATTGATCAATTGAAAAAAATTTACATTCATGTAAATAAAATTAAATAATTAAATAAATAATAAAACTAGGATATATTAGTCTTTATATTATTAAATTAATAGATATTATTTATTTTTATCAAAACATGTATTAATGGATACTATTTACTAATATATTACCAATTGACATATAATATTATTACCAATATATTACCAATTGACATTTAATGTTATTACCATTATATTACCAATTGACTTATAATTGGTAATTTTAAAGTATTGGTAATATTATCAATTGGTAATATATTAGTAATATATTTTGTAAAATAATAAAATTGATAATATATTGGTAATAAATTTTAAATAACTTGTACATATAAATATAAGAATAATTTTTGGTATTGCCAATATTTTAACATTACCAATTATAATATTTGGTATTGCGACCACAATCCACCACCCACTTAACATGTTTTTTTAGATTTTTTAGTTTTTTTTTTAAAAAAAAATTCAATCAAAAAAAATTTTATTCAAATAATTTGAAAAGTATTGAATAAAGAAAATTCGATTAATTTGAAAGGTACTGTACAAAGGTGGCATGTTCTACATGAGAGAATGTAGTGACTATAGTAAAAATTGTGGTGGCATTAGCAATACTCTAAAACTAAAAATTATTTAAAGTGTGATGATGCTTTAGTTTGATCAATTTTTTATTGTGGTGCCAACACATCAAACTAGTGAATGTTTGGTAAAAATATCAATATAGACAAATTTTTAATTTTAAATATAATTATTGATTTTTACTGAAATGTAACAAGTTAAGAACTCAATAAAGTTGGTAGTACAAAAACATCTATTTAGAACTGGTTACTACAAAAAATTAACTTTAGAATTAAATTGTATGAACTTTGAGTGTGGGAAGAGTTTTAACATTATTATGATATAAAGTCTCAAAATTCTACATCTCTTTAGATGTAAGTAACTATCAATGTGTTTGAACTGGCACCATATCATATTTTATTCCATACTTGCAAATATCACTGCCTACAATTAATGTGTAATCTTTGTAACATGATTACCAAACTTTTCATGTCAAAAAATCCAAGCAATTGAATACTTACATTTTTAAGCATATCCACATTTCAGCATCAATGCCATGGATTGCTACAACTTTGGACAACATGGAGCAAACCTGCAGGCATCTTCATCACAATGCAATTGAAAATCACTTCAAGGGTACACTCTACTGAAAGGCTGATAAATGGATGGGTAAACAACCTCTCATAGAACACCACACCAAATGTATCTGGCTCACATTAGGTTATACACCTCTTCAAAGCATACCAGAAACACCAAGTTACACATCCTAACCTGCTAAAATGAAAACACATGCAACCATGTCAATTCAATTATTAACCTCAGTATGTATCTACATGACACTGTTCTTAGCACCAAATGAAATTGTGCAGCATTTAGATGACAAATCAAGTTCCCACAATCCTGTTTGGCATCCCTCTCATGCAGATCCTGCCTCCAGTTCAGTGCATTTCAGTAATGAGGTAGTGCTCTGATAAAATGTTCCATACATCTTTGTTAGATCATTCTACTTTCTATGATCAATGCAAGCATGCACTGAATTTGCATCTAAGACATATCAATCCTGCCCGAGGACTGGGCCCAAGTCATCCCCTCATTAATTGAGCCTGCGAATGAAATGTCCCCAAATGGATAGTCCAGACTTTTCAACGTGTAAATGTCATAAGAGGGACACCAGCAAACAACACATCCCGCTCTTCTTGTTATGAGCGAAAAAAACAAAATTATACCCCTTTCAGGGCTCAATGTATCAAAAACCGCCAAACTTAATCCAGTATTTTTCAGACCTCCATGCACCATTTAAACCAAGGTACACTTCACAGTCCCTCCTTGACAACCACTGCACTCACTCTAAGGTTGCCAAATCAAGGGCCTTGCAAGGACTAGTTTGTACAGAAAGCTTATACTTGGGAATCAGTTGTTCACTAACAGCCCAAAACCCCGTCTTAACACCACCGTCAAAGAGCTTCCTCTATCCAGATGTGACTATTAAGCTGAAACCCCACGCAATTCGCGTTATATTACGCTACTTCACCATCTCAAACCAATTTCTCGCATACCTCCCGTCATAAGCGCATGCACAAAATCTATGCCCATCATAACCGTAGCAGCAGCGTCCCCAATTTGAACGAGCAGCGTGCAGCACTTGAGCATCCGTTCTACCCCGCACCACCACGACAGCTGGGCTATCTCCTAGTCAAACCTCCTGAAACACAACCTCGTCACGTTTCAGCCTCCCTTCAATGCACGTCCCACATACCAGGCGCATGCTATCCCATCTATGCAAGACACCACTGGATAATGCCACATCCAGATCCACTGCAAAGAATAACACCACACTATTCATCTTCAAGCCAAAGGGCAGGCTACCGCACCTTCCTTGTTTATATTGCTCTACGTACCACTATCAGTTCAAACTACAGCTCTCCATCCGATTCCCGGCCCACACCCGTACTCCTCCCTACTCCCGATCGAGAGCATGACAAATAACTGACCTTGCTAAATTCCAACTTCACTGGGCATAGCCCCACCTGTTGCAACAATTACCAGCCGTTGTTTTGCCGCAGGTGGATCTCGTCGATGCTCCGCCTCCATGCTCCGAGGACCTGAACGGCCGCAGAATCGTCCCCTCCGACCATGATTACAATCCCGTCCACGTACCACTGGTGGACTGCCACCTTCTCCCCCCCAGTTCCCACCCTCTGCTTTCACGCTTGGAATCGCCACCGGAGCAGTCTGCTGACCACCTTTGTTCTGCTGCTGCCTCGCCTGTTCTGACCCATGCCCACATTGGCTCTTCCCTGCTTGCTGCTTAGGCACATCCGCTCTGCTCGAATCGCGGGTCCCTCCTACACCTCTCTCTGAAAGATGTGGACGCAACGAACCTGATCGAAACCCCTCGTTGCCGCCGCTCTGTTGCCAGAGACCCTGCCCCCTCTGCAGACCGGAGGACGTCCTCGTCGCTTGATCTCTTTCCAACCGCCCTCGGTTAGAGAATCCCTGCTCACCGCCCGAGCCTGAATGCTGGCTCGGACCACTCCAACCTTGCGGCTGTTGGCCTTCTCTCTCGGTCGACGCCAACAGACTCGACTCCACTGCAGCTGCTGCAGAATGTGTCTTCTGCTGTGCATGCGGGGTCACGTACGCTTGTTGGCAGGAGGTCCGCTCCTTCTCAGCACTCTGGCTCCTGGGATGCTCGCCGCCGTTCTGCGACCCTGAACTCTCGCGTGCAACCGCTTTGTCCGATGCTGTGTTGGAATGCCGGGAATGTCCTCCTGTGCCCTGCTCCTGCTCCTTGTGATCGGATCCGTACGGACCTTGCCTGAGGTAATTCTGTTCACGAGGCTCTTGTCCACAAACATCCTGCCCCCGATAATCTTGACTATGCCGACTCGCACCGGCCGCAGGCCGCGGTGGCTGATATAGCTTCTTGTCCGCGGGATACTCCCTCTCGGACACTTGCGCCGGACCAAGGGTGGGGGCGGGACCTGGATTTGCGGCAGGAGGTGCACCTGCAGCTGGAGCACCAACTGCCGTCGCTTGTGTTGTAGCAGTCAACTGCTCAGATCCCGAATGGTTGCGACAAGATAGACCTACCCCTTTACTACACCTCTGATCAGCCCGCTGACGATGATGCTTTGCATTTCCCAGGCCGGATCCACCAGCATTCGCAGCAGGAAAATCCTTCGCGCTCTCACTCCAAGAGCTTCTTTGCCGCCACGATCCATGGGACCTTCCGCCTTTGCTGCCAGAGTCCACTGCCTTGACATCATGACTGCCTTTCTCATCCCCAATCCACGACTGCTTGCCGTCTGGAAGGCCTACAACACGCGGGCACTCCGCCTCCACCGTACTTACCGCGACGCCATCCTGAGGGACCTGGTGGTGTACTCCTTGCGTTTGCGCATGTGGTGGGAACGACTTTTGCTCTGAACTCACTTGACATTTCATCAAATGTTTCGGAGTATACCGCTCCATCTCCGCCCTCTTCCCGCGTCCTTGCTGCGGTGCCGACACGCTCTCCTCCTGCTGATCGCACATATGCGGCCCTTCCCCTCTCGTCCCTCCCCCGGCTCCAGGAGATCGAACTGGAGCCCACACCATCGAATCGACCCCATGGGACTTCTCAGCCGCTCGCTGCTCTTGGGATCCCCGATCTCTTCGACTCTGACACCAACCACCGCGACTCTTGCGTTGCATCCTCTTACCGGGAACATCTCCATTAGTCGATACAGCTGATCCTTCATCCCCTGTCAAAGCATCGCCTGACATGCTCACGTCTTTACCCGTATCCATGTGCCATCCATTTGCGCCGGGATCCCCTGGCACCTCACTCCCTAAGATGCGGAAATCCGTGCTGTGCAGTCCAGATACTATGTCACCAAACTGAATGCTCTCCGGAATTATTACAGCCGGAGCTTCCGGACGTTGTTTGTTCCTGCTGTTGCGACTGTTCTTGCTCTTGCTCTTGCTCTTCCGTAGGCTGCCTGGCCCATCGCTGTTGCTCGTTCCCACATGACCTGTGTTTCCTGAATCCACCTCTTTCGGTGCCAAATTGTCCATATTCCAGCCCCTGCTACCTCCAGTCGGAGGATTGTCGGCAGACGCAACGGCCGCTGCCACTGATCGCTCCCCATCCTCTGTTCCACCCACCACCTGTTTCCTCTCCCACCTACCCCTGTGACGAGACTCGCGCCGCCGGTTCGCCTGTTCACCACGTGCTTCGCCCACACCCACAGGGATACTCAATATAAGATCACCACTCACGCTCGCTGACAGAATCATGCTAGCGCCGCCGTTTGCCTGACCCCTGTCACCTTCTCCGACGACTGCTTTCCACCCATTCGCCTTCCTGTCACGCTCGCACTTCGCATGGTCGTTGCGCCCGCCACGCTTCATGCTGCCGCTGCCGCTGCTCCTGCCGCTTTGCACCACTGCTTTCGACTCCACTGTTGGAACCTCTTGCGTCGCTTCCCGACTTTCTTTCCGACTTCCTTCAACACTGGGCTTCAACACCTCCGTCACCATCACCTCCTCGGCTGCTGCTGCCCGTACCGCGGTGAATCTCCTATCCAGCTCCTCAAGCTTTGCCCTAGCCTTCGCCTTCTGCTCCCTCATTCTTTCTTCCTCCTCATTCGCCAACCTGCTTGCCTTTAGAGTCGCTTTCTCTTCCATCGATGCCCGCTGTAACCATTCCAAGTTCCAAAAATTATTGTCAGAACATACCGTGCACAACCTCCCATCCCACGCTGCCTTTGCACATCCAACACTACGCAGGATTAATCAAGCCATACCCCAGTCTACCCAATCCAACATACATGCTTCCGATCTTCACAACGCCCTGCACAAACAAATGTACAGACAGCTCCACACAACCCCATAGCCAACAAGCGAGGCGATAGACAGCACCTGCGCATCCACACTATTGCCTGAAGCACCCTTTGGCCCCCTCATGCACTGCGCGCCTTTGCTCTCCGTGCCCTCCACTGCTGATGCCCAACCTGCAATTCCCGCTGTCGAATCCTGTGATGCAACATCCGCAGGATGCCTTGGACTCATCTCAGGGATCTGGACCTTTGGCCTCCATTCCTTTTCTCCATCATGCGAAGAAATGTTACCTTTCGATTTCATCCCCTCTTTTCCGCTACCTTCGTGATTTGTACTCGTCTGGACCACATTCACGTCTGAAACCCCGCCCTCAACACGCCCCGCCTGCACTTTCGGGCTCTCTGGGCGTCTCAAAATGCGCCCTTTCTCGCCATCTTTCGGAACTTCCGCCTCCGACTTCTCCAAACCACCGCCCACACCACCTGATTTCGCCTGCCTCCAATGATGCGCACCCGCTGGACCGCCTGTTCCATCTGCCACTGCATTCCGTGGGGCATTTCTAAGAATGCTGGACTTCCCCCCACCTCCACCACCATAGGGGCCGAATCGCAACGTACTCGACTCAACATTGCCACCAGCATGGCTCACCTCCCTTATTTCACTCTGGATCGCATCTCGACGGCTCCCTCTCTCCCATCTGTCTTTCATCACCATCTTAGCCACCACTTCCTTGTCCACAACCATCACGTTCACCGTCTTCCTCCCTCCCTCCTCCTTGTCTTCTGCGATCTCCCGGCCCTCAGCATTCGCTCTCGGCGCACTCGAAACTTCCAATCTCGCCTTCGGGGCTGCAGCTACAGGATCGCTCTTTAATGTGACTGCCACCCCCTTATCCTCTTCCTTCGTGACCTCCATTTCCATCACATCGCCAGGCTCTCGCAAGTTCCCCTCCCGGTGGTGTCGAAGGCCTTGGTTCATGCCCCCGTGTCCGAATCGCCCGAACGCTTCCGGAGGAGGCCCTCTGTGCGGTCCGTATCCGCCGTATGGCCCTGGTCTGCCGCCCATTCCCATCATCGTCCTCTCTGGATCTTCCATGTTTTGGTACCCTGGCCCTGCAGGTCCATAGAAACCATCGTAAGGAACCGGCCCTTGGAACATGCTCGGCTTCGTCGGGTGCATTAGACCTGCTGATCGCAATAACGGCCCCACATTACCATACACGTCGCCGTGGTGGCAATATCCGCCTGGACCTGGTGCTCCACGACCGAAACCTGCCGGCCTAGGTCCAAATCGAGGTCCATGCATAAACCCTGGGCTCTCATGGGGATAATGACCATGCTCCGGGGGAGGTCCATACTGACCCAAGGGTGGAGCTCCTCCTCGCCGCCAGTTATCGTCTGCTGCCCCACTCGACGAACCCCTCTCCCGTCGCCAACTCTCCGGATAAGAACCTTGTCCACCGTAAGATGGCCTCACATAAGGTCCGTCCCTGTGCCAATTTCCTTCCGCATGCGGAGGAGGCCCTCGTAATGCCGGACCTTCTCTCCTCCAGTTGTCCGCACCACTCCGCTCTGGAAGATTGTATCCAGCGCTGCGAGGCCTTGGTAGTAGTATCTCTTCTGCCACACAAAATATATATAAGTGTAACAATCAATCCATCGTTTCATCACCTCTAACCAAACCTGAGCCACACCAGCAATGTATTCCAACGTTTCACCTCTGACCAATTCAGTAAACGCCAATGCACCTCACATGAGAGCCATTGCAAATACCGCATCACTGAGTCCAGCAATCTTACCGCGAGGAACTGGTGCTGTAGGTGGCCTCCTCTCTCCGTATGTGGCCCATTAGACTCCGCTGGAGCCCCGCGCTCAGCACCAGAGGTGCCTGCACATCACACAAACACCCCACGCCTCAGCATCCCAAACGCATCCACAGCTATGCCACCATGTGCAGTCGCGAATATCACAAATGCATCCTCTCTGCCAATCCCAGCCGCGCTTACTCTGCTGTGGACGCAATTCTGGGTTTTTCTCAGAACCCAAAGTCGGAAAGTCTGTCCTCGTCACCTGAAACCGCGAGGCCTGATGAGGCTCCTCTCCCTGACCCACAGCCACCCATTCTATTCATCAGTTCTCCACACTCACCTATCATACGTGTCCACCACCACTCGCAATCCCAACTTGACGCGCTACCCGACTGTGACAGCCGCAAAAATAATCACCCGTACCACATCCAATGTGCTGAACCAGCAACATCCCGCAAATTCTCCTCAGAACTTTCGAAACACAATCCACACCACCACCGCACATCATGTCACAATGCGCTGACGCCCTTCTCAACAAAAAGAATGCGCATTCCACCCAAGAAAGACCATCGTGTGCATCGGTATCGTACCAGTCTGCGGCGACCCGCCCATGCCGCGTTGCCTGCTAGAGAAGAAGCCGCTGGCTGATGCCCAATCTCAGACAGGTTGCGAGTAGGTCGTGTGATATCAGCACTCCTAGGACGTGCTTGGGCTTGGGCTTGAGCTACAAGCGGTTGGAGTTGACCTAAGACTCCAGAAGCCGAGGACGGCCTTGCAATCCACACACTGCTCGTTTCCGTGTTTCCCGGAAGCGAATCGGACGATTGCTGCACCTGTGCAACGCTTTCCGCCGACATCGGACGACAGCCACTGCCTCCTGATCTTGGGCGTGGGACAATTCCTGGGGTCCCCAAAGTTGCCCCTCCACCGATAACACTGCTCCCCATAGATACCGCACCCACTTTCGGTCCCCATGCTCCACTGCAACTCGGCGGAGAAGACGCCTGTGCTGGAGTACCCCATGCATTGCTACTCGCTGGTGGTGAGGGTCCCGCGGATGCCCAGCTCACGCTCCCTCTGTACATAAAATCGCGACATTCAATTGGCGTCCATCGCCATCTTTTCCACGCCTTCACAAACCACAACTTCCATGCATTCAACCCATACTTCCGCATGACAAGAGGACGGTTGGATACACGCTACCACGGATACTACCTTATCTAACTCATTCAGTGTCTCAATTCCGAACACCCCCGCTCTTGGCTAATATATCCTATCGGTGATACTAGAATCCTAAACCGTACCACACCCGGTCGATGTTCACTACAACCCCAGCTTTCTACTAAACTGGGCAAAAAGAATAGCGTTGAAACGGCATGGTAGCTACCACTCATTAACATGCAGGACACAATCCCGACAAGTAGCACGGCAGCCAATGCTCCAACTATACTGCCTATGAGAACGCTGCACCTCACATTCAGTGAACAACCCATCGCTCATACCGACTGCAGACATTCAGGTTCGACGGACGACACTACCTCGGTAATATCTCCACATTGGGGTCGAGTCCACGATTCTCCAACCTGGAAGACAAGAACCACGACAGCTTCATAAACCCAAAATGCGCATCCACCCCCGGAATCCAATACAAAGCTTCCGTTGCATAGGCGTCTATGAAAACCTGGGGCATTCGACCACTCCACCACTGCACATTTCCCAAACGGGATGGCCTTACCGTTGACTTGGTAGGTTGATAGGCTTGGGTACTGCAGATATTTTTCCTAGCACTTGCAAACCCCGTCGAGCCGAGCTTCTCCTGCACACCACCCACACGCATTACACCCATCGACCGCTACCCTAATCCGCCGCGAACCACTCGCCGATAATACAACACGTCCGCATTCAAGCTCCCACCCTGTCCACAAACACTCGTCTACCACACTCTCACTCCACAATGAACTTCGGCTTCAGCTCATGTCGCTTGTACACTCCGTCGTCGACACAAACGAACGAGCGAACTCGCAAAACAAATGCTGGTCGAACAAAAGTTTGCTACCTAAATACCAGACTTCACAATGAGGACTCCCTCTCATCCCGGAAACACTTCAAGGCATCTTCGCGCACACTAACGCTCGTCGCACAATGCGCGTCTCAAAGACTGCTGAAAACGGCTCCATTGGAACGGACTCTACATTTTCACCAAAACATTCTGTGCAGCTTCCACCGAACACGATCACATCCACACACACACACACAGCCATTGCTACACACTTCGTCGCACACGGACACCTAGCTTGCCTGACAGAGCTACTCTATCTAAGCATGCCGTGGCGTCGTCTCGGAGTTCCATTCCATTCCTTCGCCTCAATACACGGGACCGATGGAGAGCAGGTATCCCATACACACTACTCGCCCTTCGAACTGCTCTCATCACGAATTCAAAACATTGCCGGCGTACCTCCGGTCGCTTGTCAACATGTTTCAGGCTCCTAATGCCTGCACCAAGAACTGGGACACTAACTCCCCCGGTGCTGACCAAAAAGTACCCTGCAGCAAGGGCCACAATTCTCAGAAACCAACGCTCACGTATCCTATCTGCGCCTGTGAACCACAAAACCCAAGACGAAGCACTCAAATTCCAAAACATGCGGGCAGCTTCACAGCACACAACAATCGATCCACTGCAGCGAAAAACCAAACGCCTCACTCCATCGATAACCGAACTTCAACTCCGAAAACACTCACCTTTCTACTCTCGACCTCCATCGCCAAAGGAAAAACACAATGCCTCGCAGCCCTGAGTGAACATCACAGTCTAACCTAACGCCCATTCCCGGCCACATCTAGCACTCCGTCCGGATCCAAGTTGGACCGCAAACGGAACCCCTAAAACCCCACAGCTCGCAATCAGAAAATACACAACGATGACGTTGAGAACTGAAGCAGGAATGCCAACGCGTCGCTCGAACTCCTCACCCACGGAAACCATGACGAGTCCATCACAGCACTTCTACACAAAATTGTTTGAGACAATTCACTAACCACCATCATCACGCAGCCTCCAATTTCGCACCCAAATGCGGAACGACACCAGCGCAGGGTGTGTGCCAGGCGATCCTTGCAGCAGCGCCGTCAAGCAATCCTCGCACAGGAGCACACCCACCGCGCCACTTCACACGACAGGAACCAGAGTTGTGGCTTCGCCATTTGTCCCACCCTTAACTTGCTCGCTGCAAAGTTACAAATTTGGGGCTGAAAACACTTACTGTGGACTTGGGTCCACCAAATTTGACTGAGGAAGAATCCGTGTACAAGCCCCTCTTTCAGTTATTATGCTGGTTCCAACATTGGTACTCATAAATGCGATGGGCCCTCCGAAACCTATCATTGCTACTCAATTTAGCTCTAAAAACAGGTTAGATTGGAGGATGAATAATGCAATTGCATTTATTGAAGATTTTTTGAGAGCTTAATGTCCTTGAGTAAAATACAATGTGGATAAAAAAAAAAGATTTAGAAGTATTTAATGTTGTAATTTTAAGTTTATATATATATATATATATATATATGAAATGATTAAGATTTAACAAATGAGCCCTTGTACATTTTGTATATGTAAAGAAATTTATATAATATTAATCTTAAAATAATTCCAAAATCAGAAATATTTTTTCATATTACAATGATTAAATTTTTAAAATTTTAGTATTAAAAAATGTTTTAAAAATACAATTGCAATAGATAGAAGGAACTCCTTTGAAAAAATATATATATTATTAGATTAAAGAAAGTATAAGACTTGATACAAATTATTTTCCTATAAAACTTTGATATTGTCTTATTAGATTGTTATTCACTTAGCCATTTGAGAACTTAAAATAAAGCCAATGTTGAGCTCCAAGTTTCCTTTGCAAAAAGATGGCAATGTATTTGCTTGACAAAACTTGCTAAATCTAAAGAGGAGATACAATGTGTTCACAATTATAAATGCATATAATATAAACTAATTAGATAAATAAGTTTATAATGCTTCTATTTTCTAATTGATTTAAATAATCTACTATCTTCTATGTCTAATGACATAATTCAAAGACTTTAAACAATAAGCAATAGTAGAGATAATTATTTTTTGTTGATTAGTCTAAAATCTTAATGATTTGGTAAAATATAGACAATTATTAAAGCAAAAATTATTCACATTCTTTGATATGACTTTAATTTATAAAAAACTTTGATTCTCTTCTATCTAGCCTCAGATTATAAATAATAAATTTGAATATAATTCTTATTAATTTAAAGTAATAAATGGTACTTCTAAAATACATTAATTACAGAGCTACTTCATAGCATTAGTCCTTGTTTTAAAATATAGATTGTTTTTAATAAACACAAGCTCTAAGATAAAAATTAAATTTTAATTTAAAAAAAATATCAAGCTAAATAGGTATTTTAATATATTAGAAGTACTCATATGCTATGTATTATATCCTATTAGATTTAAAAATAAAAATAAAAATAAAATAACATATATGTTGATGTTTTTGTTTTTGTTTTTGTTTTTGTTTTTTTTTTTTTTTTGTGAGAAATCCAAAAAGAAAATATTTTACCATCGAGATTTTCTTTTAATTAGAAGGATATTTTTTATAGACTAAAACATGCAAAGAAGTATTTCTAACAAAAAAAAAAACATTTGGCATAAACATGACTAATTTTTAATGTATAGAAAATTCAAGCTAACTTTCACATTTTGATCTTTGTTTTCTTTATATGCCTTAAAAACATAATAAAAATCCTATACAATTCATAAAATTGTATACAAACTTAATATAATTTAAATTTAGAATCATATCTAATAAACACATTGGCTTTAAGTCCTAAGCATTACAAGCCATAAAAATATTTCTATTAAAAAGAAGAAATATTTGCTAACAAAAATACACTTAACTTTTATTAATTTGATGCAATTATGATTTATTCTAAAAAGATCATACTTGTTTTTTTTCTTTTTTATTTAAAAAAAACAAATATTTATCTTTGAAGATGAGATATTAAACAAATAAACAAAAGAAATTCGGATTATGAGAATTTAATAGAATATAGTAAATTACCAAATAATATTTTATGAAGAAAAAAATTAAAATTAAAGAACTAGAAGTTAATTATAACATATATATTTTAGAAAATATAAAAAATTATATATTACCAATAGTATACTAAGATTGATATAATATAATAAATGAGTATTTTTATTTTATTTATTGCAATGCAATTAAGCATAATATTCTAGATTCCTGAAAGATATAGTAATTCAAAGTTAATTAATTTTTTCATTTCATATTGAATAGTAAATATTCAAATTACCATCTAAAAAAAACATCTCTAATATTGTACTACTTGGAAGAAAAGACCAATAGATTTTGACTTAATACTCTAATGACTGTATATTTATAGACTCTATATTTATACTACAAAGAGAAAAAAAGCTTAATTTATAAGATAGAGAATGTTCTTAAAATTTTCAATTTGGTATTAGGTTTTAAAATAAAATAGAATAATTCTCTTACATATTGGAAATACAAAAAAAAAATAAAAAATAAAACGAACTAACAAATAAATAAACAAACAAACAAACAAACAAAATAAAACAAATAGTTGAATGACAATAGGATAGAAAAATAATAGTTGAAGTTGGATTAATATCAATAAGATTTCTAAACTATTAAGTATCTTCTCTAGACTAAATTTTAATACTACTAACTTTTTAGTTAGGAAAATAAAACATAAACAAGTATTATGGTGTTTAACTAAATTTAACATAATTAGAAGAACAATTTTAGTAAGTAGTATCCTCTTTATATATATATATATATATATATATAATTTTTTTTTCATCTTCATATGGATAGGTTTACAGAAGATACCAAGTATCTTAAAGACATAGGCTTATATTAACTACATACAAAATATTGAGAGAAGAATGCTAAATTTTGTATGAACCTTTTTTTTTAATCATAATTAAAGAATGTGATCCAAATGTTGGCTGAAATAATAATAATAATAATAATTCTAAGATAATAAACAGTTATACATTATAATATTCTTTGTAATTTTTTAAAAAATAATAATAAATCATCGTTATCAAATTCTTAATTTTTTATAATTAACTCATACTTTAATTTGGAAAGAGCAACAAAATTTATAAAAAAGACGTATAAAAGAAAAGGATATACAATGCAAAATTAATCACAATTTTATTTCTTAGCTAGAAGCAATATCTAATTTCTTATTCCTTCTAAAAAATATTTTAGCAACATTTATATATTTTCTATCCAAATTACATATATTATTTGCTAAAGAAAAGATAGAAACTTTCCAAGTTCAAAGACTAAATAGGCTTGTATAGCATCCTAGAAGCCAATTTTCAAAAAACAATTTCAAATGTATTGCACAATTCATAGGAATATAGCAATCAATGCATAAAAAACCAATCCAATAGAAACACCTCAGAACTACATTAAATATGTGTACATGGATAATCAAAACTAATGTTTTATAGATTTTAGGAATTTTGTCAAAACAAAACATATTTGGAACCAAACAACCTCAATAATATATGAACTAGTCTCTAATCCTAAAAGATGATGCATGTAGATTTTGTATTTTGCTAAAAACATCACATCCTCATATAATGGTTAAAACCTATTTGGTCACTACTTTGAAGATCTTCTTTATAAATAATTTGAGTACAAAGAAATGTTTAATCTTTTAAGAAGAAAATTTGGGATCATTAACATGTTTAAATAAATACTACTTTGTAAAAACCTCTGAGATGGTAGAATGATGTGAAAAAAAACTCTTGATAAAATAATTGAATACTTAGATATTAAAGAAGCCTTTCTTTGAAACTTGAAAAAAATCTAGGTGTCTAAAGAATTGTTAAAAATAAGAACAGGTAAAAAGATCTCTACAAATAATAGAATGCTACAAAGTAGTATCAATTGTGAAATTATTAGCAATTTATAACAATTGATCATTTTTTTAAAATTATAAATAGTTCATAACAAAATTGTAATAGCTTAGATGCTCTCTTCTTTACTGTCTACCCAAATATCAAGGTATCAGGATAACATATGTTTTATTACTAACACTCTATACTAATCAAGGCATTGAATATAACATTTTTGTATTAAAAAAAAAAAAAAAAAACTAGAAAAAAATCCAAATATCAAAATTAAGTACTAATTTTGAAATGCAATCTTGAAGCATTTTAATAATAATAATGAAATCAATAAAGATTTAAAAATGTTATTATTTTTATTAATTTTTAATTTGTAAAATGATGATTATCGTAAATTAAATTGCAATATTTCAATATCATTAATGTCAAAATTCTCAATACGTTGAAAATCTAATGGCTTGAAATAATTATGCAGTTCACTTTCTATTAAGCAATCTCCTTTTGTAAATTTATTAAAAAAAATAATGCATTACATTTATAATTTTAATTTTAAAATTAATCTAAATATTACAATCAAACAGACTGATATCTTGGTGATAATAATATAAATACAATTTAAAGATAGCACTTAAATATGACTTGATATATGCGAATGGGATAAAAAGTACAACAACACCGTGGGACAAAAGCCCAAAAAGTGCACATACTCATAAGAATACCAACAGTAATATATGGCGCTTTTTATTATCTATTTAGAAGAAAAAAAATCCCCCACAGACAACTTTCATTGGGATTAATATATACTTGCCGCTGCGGCAGCAATGAGCATCTTTGTCGAGTTGTGTCCAAGTGTGAAGATTTAGGGAACTTAAAAGAACGTGCCGAATCGGATTTCTTTGATTACAACAATAGACAGAAGAGTCATGTGCATGATCAAGTGAGCGTAAGGATCACTAGGGTAAAAACACACAGACCTAGAAGTGGAGGGCGTTATGGAGTAGTCTGCAGTCTGGAGTCCGACACAGCCCCACGTCGTGCACGAGTCGTCAGTTCTGCCGGGATCGACCAAGCTTGTCGATAGAATGTGACAGAGATCTGCTCCATGCCACATTTAATTCACATGGCAAAAAATACGCTTGGTTTCTGATTTTGTGTGCGAAAAACGAGCACGATCAGCTGTCTTTCGATGATTCCCATTTGGCAGCTGTAGGGTTGAGGATTCAAGTACCTGAGAAAGCAACAAAGGCGCTAGCACGGAGCGCCGTCTCTATCTCCAGCTACTGCGATGTTGTCCTTCATCTCAAGATCTCTCACGTCTTCCCGCGTACTTCTTTTGACATCAGAAATTCGGGATCGCTCTGCACCCTCAAGATTGTTGTTGATATCTTCGTAACTGACTGCTGATGATTATTAGAACCGTGACTTCTTTTTTTGGCAAAGATGCTCTTTATGCAGAAACTGAGATGAGTGTACCGTTACACTGTAGGATTGATATTTGTCCGGCTGAACATGAATCTGTGGAATTCATCAACCTGTATCTCTACATTGAGATAATTTTCAGCTTTCAAAGCAAGTTACCGGTGCATAACCACCAGTGTCTTCGCATCAGTCAGTGTATCTCACTGTCTTTTGAATCTTCGAAAGAATCACTGCACAGACGTGTGCAGCACTCGAGTCTTGAATTGCAGACAAGCTTGAGCCCAGTTAAAAAGATGAGGAGCAACAATTACCTGCACACTCATTCAACAATGATAACAATTAATCTTAGGACACAGATTAATTGATCAATTGTTCAACAATGATAGCAATTGCAAGGCCTCAACAAAAAAATTGGTTAATTGAAAGTTTGTGAAATTGCTGTGCTGAACTTCACTAGAAGGAACTTCAGTGGTATTGACAACTTCTACATTATCAACTCTTTCGTGCAGAAATTGTAGTCGATGAATAAGATTGAAATCCACAATGGAAATGTTCTTTGTATATAACGAATTTCATATTAAAAATTAAGAAAATCGACGGTAAGATTTCTCGTTGTGATGTACAAGCTCATGCAAGTTCTTTGGCAGCAACGTGCTCTCAAACTAGTTGCTCCGTGTTCTTTAGAGCAACTAGGACATCCCGCTACATCTCTCACAGATGGCAACCCCCAAACTACAATGACAAAAGTGGATCAAATATGAAAGATTTCTCCTTGGGATGATCCAATCTACAAGAGCACTATTGAGGCTCCAACATTCTTCTGTTTGACCTAAATTCAATGTACTTTACCATTGCAACTACATCCTTGCTCACCTTGAGAAAACTATGTGATTGCTCCGTGACGATTCTTGTTACCGATTATAAGCTTGGTCATCTATGACTGAGCTACTATTCCACAACAGCTATCTTGACGAAAGGGACGTGATACTGAACACCTGTTTCCACTTATGTCAAGGCATAATATCATTGAGAGAGAACCAGAACGAAAACCCCCTGGTGAGACAGAAATATTCTATCGTCCACGAAATTCCAATAAAGCGATTCCTGAGCTTCAGGAAAATCGTCGCAGCTACCACACAAGTTTCAAGGACGATAAGCAACCACGTACCCTTCAGACCATTGTTTCTTGCACAGCATCTGCAAGTTACCAGAAGAATTAGAATACCATGCAACGCACAGCATCTATATCTGGAGCATCAGAGCACTAGCCTCCACTATATACTATGATGTAATTGGCTGAAAAAATCCGGATCGGCAGTAAACGGTTTAAGTTCTATAAAGTTTCTAGTACGACCTTTAGTCCGTATTCATTTCAATCCAACAAACAGACGATTTATCGAACTTATAACATTTCGTTAATTTCGGATAAATCCACCCCCAGGTGAATTTATGCACGCGCCTAATTCTTGTATGAAATTAGTAGACTAATTGTTACGGAGATCAAGTCTAGAGAGCTCAACGTTACTTGTGATTATCTGATAAATGAAAAATTGTAACATTTGATGTAAGTAAAAATGTCATGAAGATCCCCGTGGCTGCTGCTGAAGTTGAAATAGTGCAGAGAAGTCCACACGTCATAATCTTCATAGAAAAGTGGCGTCTCTTAAAATAACAAAATGCGGATGTCCGCTATCAAGGGCTTCATCACATGGTTGGTTTTCATAAAAACGATCTAGAAGTTGTGCGATGGATAGGTTTTTAAGTGTGAGAATCTTTCAACTGAGAAGACAGTTGAGCTTCTTCGCATTGATTCGCAAATCTGTGTTCGGAATTAGATTTCACAAACACGTCATGATGGAAACAACGTTTGATTTGATCTGTGTAGAGTATCTATCAAAAGAGAACTGATCAAGATTGGCACACAAATGGTCCGTTTTACGACCAGACCTGTGGGCTGAAATACGTTGGCCGAAGAGTGAAAGGAGCTCACTAGCGCATATGGTGACCATCAGCTAAAATCTGGATAGAAATTATCAGATCAATCAAATTATCAGTAAAATGCATGCAATCAAATCTGGATTGAAAGTAAAATGCATGCAAGCAAATTTTCCTTGCAAGCATACTTCTCAGAAAATAAACTCTGGCAATCCTAAATCTGACAACAGAGGCCTTCAATGAGAGCAGGAAAACAACACCGCAGGCAACAGAATGACATCGGTTCGATCCCGATATTGTGTTACAAAGATGGTGGCGTAGGTTTAAGCAAAAGCTCAACAAAAATCGGTATCGACAAAATCATTTCATGGAAACACATTGATCACTAGACAAGACTGAACTACAATCAAAGAAACAATTAAAAACATGCAGGAACAAGGAGAGAGCAGGGATGCCTGAACACGGCACCAGTCAACAGCCACGGTCAATCCGGATGTTCTTGAACCTCGTAGAACCAAGCACACTCTGCAAATAGATATGTAGATTCGATTCGCAACACGACGTATATATTCTTCTCCACGAATCAAAAAAATAGGAATACAAAATAAAAGTGAAATTTCTACTGAAGAAACTGAACAACTAGTATCAAAAAATTTCCACTGTGCATGCATCACACTATCAAGTTTGTCGACTACAGAATCAGAAGAGTATACAAACTTTCAAGGGGAAGGACGCACCTCACACATGAAGCCAACGGGGGTGGGACGGGGACAGTTAGCATCGTGACCGTAGGCCGGCGACGGTGAAGATGCCTCGGCGTTCACCGCTCGCCCGATGACTGTCTCAACCATGGACGAGTCGCAGGGCCACCTGAAGCCTTAGCCATGGCCACCGTTGCGATGATAAACCGATGCTCACCTCGGAGCTTGCTTTCGAATTTACAGCGCAGCCGCATGCCAAGGCCGCATCTCCAATTGTGCTCGTCGTATCACCTCCGTCACGTCTATTCGGCTCCTTTTTTCCGCTCCTCAGGTGATGATGACTTCCTTGTGCCTCATTGGATTTGAGAATCTGTCGCAGGGTCGATGCTACTGCTTGTTGTTGTCCATCGAAGTTAAAATGAAACTTGTCACAGGACTTTTCTCGGAGGGTAATTGCGAGTTTTTTCGTGGCTTTGGAAATTTTGTGGAAACCACTGTTTTCTGATCGCTATCTAGGTTGAGAGGTGGATGAGGTGATGATTGAGTGGAGGAGGGCAAGCTCGTTTGATTGTAGTGCGGAATCGGGTGGTTGGTGACTCGTGAGCTTAGCATTGATCGGAGTTGTCTCGGTGGTTTCATGTGACGGTTTGCCGTCGGTTGTGTTGAAATTTTTTGTGGTCGGCAAATAGGGTGTAGGAGTTATACTACGGCTGTGAAGGCTATGGCGCAAACTGAGCAAGGCGTTGTTGCAGGTCGGACAAAAGTCGGGTAAAGTCTTGGTTACTGTGACCTTATTGTTTTTCGGTCAGTCAATTTCTGTTACCTTTTGCAATTGTAGCCATTAAGAGGTCCTTGTAGTTCAATTTGATTGATCATCTTAGGCTCTGTCTAGAATCTAGGCATCGTCGTGTGTTAGCAAATAAATCCCGCGGCGTCTTGGTCACTTTCTGTCGAATTTTGAGAAATGGTTGCAGTCTCGGAATGGAATCGCCACTGAATGTGGTGACTGATGGTGCAGATGGATAGGGACGGGAGTGATGGGGCAGGCTATGTGTGGCCACATTCTGGATGCTGGCTTTGCCGTCACCGTTTACAATCGAACTCCTAGGTCAGATCTTAATGCTTTGTTTTCTACTGATCTGTCGAAGCTGCTATCTGCTTGCTCATATTGTGATCCAGTTTGACTCATGAATAGCTGCTCAAGAATGCAGGATAACTTACTTCGATTTGAAAGTAAATAGATTGGAGTATCAGATATGTTCCAGCATTCTAAGTATAACAGGTTCTATGTAGACCTCTTCGCTCGCCAATGATGTCTAGCTGTTGAACTGAAGATTTTTAAACCAAAACAGACACAGGAGTCTTTACTCAGAGAGTTCAGCCCACTTTGACCAATTCCTAAAATTATTTTAGAATTTTTGAGACTCGATGAGTGATTTCGAAATGTTGTGTATCTCTTGTACTCGGCTCATGTTTTGGAAAGCAGCAAAGCTGAAGGGCTATGTCAGAAAGGTGCAGTCATGGCCGACTCTCCAAGTGCTGTTGCTGAAAATAGCGATGTAGTCTTCATGATCGTGGGGTAAGTTTGTCCTTGTGTTTATGTATCGCTAATTGCATGTACCATATTCTTGTTTTAGGTGCGTTTACATGAGGTTTTCATTTTCTGCATAGTTAAAAGTTGGCGTTTTCCAAAATTTGGTGTTGACAGATACCCAGCAGACGTGCGGGAAGTGATTCTAGGAGAGAAAGGAATTCTACAAACTCTTCGTCCGGGTGGAATTGTGCGTACGTAATATCACTAGACCTGTTCTGTTAGTGAAGTCTTCACTTCTTTACGATATGTATGCAGATCAATCAACCATTCACTTCTTACTGTAGCAATCCCCAGGCACGTTATGATGAAATGCTATGTATGGCCAGGTGGTTGATATGACGACAAGTGAACCTTCTTTGGCTCGTGAGATATTTGATGCTGCTCAAAAAAGGTATGTATAGTTGATTTCTGGGGATGAGCTTTGTATTACGATACCTTTTAAGCTAGCTGTGATTCCTCTTTTCATTGTGGAGATGTGAGACGTTTTGTTAACTTATGGGTTGTGTGATAGAGGTTGTGATGCAGTCGATGCACCTGTGTCAGGGGGAGACAAAGGAGCTAAAGCAGGGACTCTTGCAATAATGGCTGGAGGTCGAAAAGAAACTGTAAGTGAAATATCTCAGTTTTAAGCTTATGAACCCATCCCACCCAGTAAGATTTCGTTTTTTTACCTATGAGGTCATGAAGAGCCATGCATATCACTTGCTGTCCGCTGCAACTGCTAATCGGTTTGTAATTCCTCATTTCTTGAGACTTGAATGTGGCAGATTAGTACATTGGGACCTCTATTTATGTGCATGGGCACTCCAACATTCATGGGCCCTGCAGGGTGCGGGCAAAGCTGTAAACTAGCGAATCAAGTACTTTACGAACACTTCCTTCGCTCTTTCTGCAGCTCTTTATTTTGTCCCTTTTACATGCGATTCTTTTTCAGAAGTGATATTAAGGTCTTACTAGGATGGGATATTGATTCATTCTCAAATTTTCAAATTCCATTTACAGGTTACGATCGCATCAACAATGGTTGGCCTTGTAGAGGTAAATGTTCCTTTTGCACTCAAGTTGACGAATCTCGACTTTTTAGTCGGTAACGGTGCTAATTCAACATCTAGTACCATATTTTCTAAGAAAATGGGAGAATGAATTTTGTGGGAATTGAAATTGTGCTAACCTAGTGACCTGGACCTTGCAGGGAATGATGTATGCGCATAAAGCAGGACTGGATGTTACAACGTAAGCAATAAGCCTCACCACTCTGCAATAATATAGGTTTTAACGATTAAAATAAACCAATTCAGAGGTTTTTAAGTCTGGGGAATGTCTCCTTCCTCTGTATTAAAAACGTCGGTGCTGTTTGGCATGAACTTCCGTACTGAGTCAGTAGAGCTGTGAGTACAGAGAGGAATCTGAAGTAACGACCTATTAATTTTGCAATTGGTCCTGATGATTCAGGTTCTTGCAAGCAATAGCAGGGGGTGCAGCCGGCTCTAAGTCCTTAGACTTGTATGCTGGTCGCATTCAGAACCGTGACTTTGCTCCAGGTTGACATCATACTCAGATTGAATAATTGTTTGTACATTTTGACTTGATCATTATTTGTATCCCCACTATTCCGTGCTTAATTCCAATTGAAAGCGCACATGATTTTTGTGACACCTTCAAGTTTTTTGTCTCATGTCAACCTGGGTGGTTGGCGGCTTTGTATGCAGGCTTTTATGTGAACCATTTCGTGAAAGATCTAGGGATTGCATTAGATGAATGCAAGCAGATGGGACTCGCACTACCGGGACTTGCTCTTGTAAGTACTGCACTCCTTTCCTGTGTCGATTTTGATGCTAAATTGGCACTTGACTGATAAACTTTTGCAACGCTATGCATCAGTAGTAATGCTTTCATTTTCTGATAATCTGTTGAATGCGTGCAGGCTCAGCAGCTGTATGTGTCATTGAAGGCACATGATGATGGTAACCTTGGCACTCAGAGTCTAGTTAAAGCTTTGGAGAGGCTCAACAATATCACACTACCTCAGGTCCCAAAGTAGATATTAAGTCGGGATCAAATCCTCGTAGTCTGAACCTCAGGGCAGGTCAAGAGCATCGTCCGTAGATACTGCATTCCCTTCCTCTTTACCTCCTGCAAGTACTGTTGTGTGATTCGAATGAATTTGAGTTGTCTGCATTACGACGAATTTTTAACAACTGTCATACCTTGGTACCCATGTGCTACCATCGCTAATAAACATGGTCCACCAATAAGATAGAGGAAATATATGCATCCGTGAATCAAGTGTTCCGAACATTCAATGGCTTCAAAACTCCAATAAACGTATACAATATGAGTGGAGTGATTGAACATAGTGCTAGACAACCCCTGCACTGAAAAGTAGCTCTAAATTTTGTACACTCCAATCAAATAACTATGTATAACTCCCTCATCTATAAGAATTGGGAATTCTTTTATCTGCCCGGAGCACCTACATTTTAGGAACAAGGCAACAACCTTAATAAAAACACATTGGATCCTATATACACAGGGCTCTAACACACGAATAAGACGTGTAAATTACGCTCTAACAGTTCATGCCCATGTGCAACATAGTCAACGAATTCAGCCAAAACCCAAGGAACTTCACAAGAAAGGAGACGTCCCTCGTAATGCCTGGCTCACAGAGTGCAAGCTGCAAGACATGCAAACAAGCTTGTTCGTAAACAGCTGAGCAACCTCCACTAAATATGCCTATACACGACCAGGCTCATCTCATGCTCGACGCACCTGCCCGATCTCCTATTGTATCGCATGACGTAACCCACGACCCACATATCTTGGAGGTGTTCGGAATTCCGGCAGCAGCTCTTTCCACATCTCATATAACCCCTTGGTCAAGATATTATACAAAGTCCTCGTCTAGAATCCACCTGTAAAGGACACTGGATCATGCTGAGTGATGTGAACTCACTAAATCCGCAAAATCCCATCGCCTTTGCAGAAAGTGGCCATACCCCCATCAAGACTTCCCACCTTGCTTTACAGAACGCTCAGGAGAACCTCTAGCTTTAGTCTGGAGGTCGCCAGACCTTTTGTCACTAAGAAGACCTTCGACTGGCATATCAAAGATTGATTCCTGATTTTGAGCACTGGGGACGCCTCTGTTATCGTCACAAAAGCCCGAATTGATCAAACCATCCTTCGACGAGGTTCGTGAGCTAGTCTTCTTGTGCAATTCTTCAAACAACTGCGACCGTATGGAATCCTCCTCCTGTGTCGATTTAGTCCGAGGCTTGGGAGTTGAAGCTCTTTTTTCTCCCCGAGAGGATTGATCTGCTTCCGCCTTCATGTCCTCAATGACCTTCTTCAGGAAACTATGGTCTGAGTGCAGGCTGTTTAATTGGTTCCGCATGGAATAACACATGGATGCAATAAAACCCAGTTGAGATCCATCATCCACAGGGCTCTCAAGGTACCTCACCTCATTGCTTAAAGGCCCACTGTCAGACGAAAACGCACTACCAACATTCTGTAAATTCCTATGGAAATCAATGCTCCTGATGCTTATTTTGTCCAGAACAAGAACGGGCAGTTTGTAACCATAAAAGCAGCGACCACCTTCGTCACCTGCCCTAGATGGCCCTCGCATTCCCCATTGAACTTGCCCCACAGCCCGTCTGCCTAGCGGAATCGCACTATGCACGGTTAGACCCCAACTGCTGTGTGCGTTACCTGACCAACTTTGAAGCAACCCATTCCGTTTAGTCTCAGGTTGGTGGTTATGGTCGCCAAGAGAAGCATCCCTATCAATTTCCACGCCTGAATCTGGCGAATCACATGCGTCTCCATTCTCCAAAGAGCGTTGCGTCAAGAGATCCATGCCCACAGATCCTACTTCTTGCGCTCCAGGTATCTCCAAATCACTAGACCTCTCACCAGGATGCCGCAATCCGCCAGTACAGTCAGGGCTACCAGGATCGTCAGACAAGTAGCATTTCTTTTCGCTAACTATCGACCCGGAAACTTGACCTAATCCCAAAGGAATAATCCCACAATCGTTGTACGTCTCATATACAAGCCCATCGCCTTGCGTTTGTCCGCCAGCAGACTGATTCATCATCGCTTCCCCTGGCCTTTCCGCCACGGCAACCTCGACCTCTTCCTGAAACCCCATATCCTTATTCCTCTCCGCATGACCAGAAGAACAAGACACGCTACCTTCTCGTGCAAGAGTCCCGCTTGTGCTCAAGAAATGCTTCCGGAGGCTGAAGCTGCCAACCCGAGGCTTCAAACGGAGCATAAACGACACACTCTCTCGGCGCACCAAGTTAAACTCCGCTGCAATAGTGAAGGGCGCGCCATGTGGAGACCCCCACACTCCAAACCCCATCTTCAACAACACGGCCAGAGGCGAGAGGTAGTCATTAGGCCTGTACGAGACACGGCACGTCGGCCCAGCATCCATATTGGTACCCACATGCAGCGCCAATTCTTTCTCATCACCGACGGTGATACCAGAGTAGAATGGCAGTCCGACTACTTGCACCGGGACTTTGGCTCGCACCAGGGGCCGCTGCCCTTCCCTCACTCTCACTGACGCCTTCATCGCATCTTATCCCTCCACAATAACCCAAATGCGCAAGATTGTCAGAAATTGTACCGGAACATCACACTGTGCCCTCGCTCTCTCTCCCGCTCTCTCTCTCTTTCTCTCAACAATCTCTGCCCCAATCTGCAAGACCTCTTGCGCAAGTAGGCCACACCGGAGTTCAATGCCAGCCTCCTCTTTCCCCTGTTCCTTTTGATCTGCACAAAACAATCGTCATCATCGTCGTCGTCCTCATCAACGCCACCAGAAATCTGACGAATCCTGCATGTGAAACCACCTACAAATACGACAGCGAACGAACCACGATCGACAATCAAAGCAGCCGCGAACGGCCGCAAAAGACTGAGAGCTCGAAAAACCGGAAAAAAAATCCGGGAAAAAATCAAAAATCAAAATAACAGCTTCCAATTAAAGTTGATAATAGGATATGATTAATTTATTGTAACTTTGAGATTGATTAATCTTGTGACATGTCGGAAAAACAAGTCAGTGTACAAGTAGTCTACAAGTAGAGTGTTGATATCAATTTAGTTCTACAATGGTTGTAATTACTAGAATCTATATATATATATATATATTATAGTTTTAATTCAGAAGATATTAGAAAATTTATAATAATAATAATAATCAAGAAAAAAATTATTATCACTTTTTTTGGAATAAACAACAAGTAAAATTTTGAGGCAAAAGAAGTCTTAGATTTAAGGTGGTGCCAAAAGAAACTGGATCATCTTGTATATTGATAAAAATATAATATTAGTAAATATACATAGATGTTATTTAAGAATCTTAAAAATGTGTTAATTTTTTTGTATTTTCAAAAAATCACTCATTTAAATTAATAACCAATCATTAATAATAATAACAAGATGGCAAAAAATATTTTTTAAAATAAAAAATTATCAATTTTTTATGCACATTTGTGACATTCATTGTAATTTTTTTTTTTTTTGATAAGATCAAAAATCAGTAGCATATGGATTTGTTTCAAGAACCATCATTTATAAAACTACCAAATTAACTATTTACAATGTGACAACTTAGAACATCAAAATTAAAATAAATAATGAATATATATATATATATATATATATATATATTCTAAAATTAATATTGATATATAATGAATTTAATATCATAACTTTAGAAATGATATTGTAATGGATAGATATATTTTCTAGTATATTTAGTTAAATAAGTAGAACTAGCTATGTAGACTTTACATAAGTTTATAAGTAATTGGTAGATTTACAATTTGACTAATAAGTTGGCCACATATCATACATTTAGCCACTTGTATTACAAGTTGGCAATGTGTACATATTGGAAACTTGTTGTACAAATTAGAAATATGCCCCACAAGTTAGAGATGTACTATATGCCCTATGAAATAATAGCACATAGTTTTTTAATAGATAGTATATATAAAGGCAAGTATGAGGCCATTCTCATTCTTTTCAATGCCATTTTTGTGTTTTTATTTTAGTTCAAGTCTTCCTAATTGAAGTGAGGTAATGTACTCACTTCTTTTTGTTGTGTTTTAATGGTTGTGGACCACTCACATTTAAATTTTTTTTTATATTTTTAATATTGACTCTTTGCTTAAAGACAATAGACTACTCATCTTAGTAGAAATTTTTATTTGATACTAAAAGATGTAGATTACCTTCTTCTAAATTAACTTATAAATTTATTAAAATTATTTATTATAGAGATGTGAAGAAAATAATTTATTGATGCTATACTTAATAGAAGTTAGAATAGATTTGTAACTATTGCAAATCTTTACGAGTTAGTCAATACTCTTAGACAAAAATTTCACATATTGTTAATGTCAACCATGGAAGTACTATTTCTATGACTATGGAAGAAGTCAACAATGAAGTTTAATATTTATACTAAGAAATTGTGCACTTGAAAGAAGCAAAAACAGATTGACTTCACAAGTGAATCTAAAAAGTCTTGTTACTACAAATATGAAGGAGATAAAGATTAGTATGCTCAAGAATTTTGATAGAACAAGATTAAAATTTTAAAGATTTCTATAACAAGTTAAGATTTATTCAAGTTGAATTTATATATACACTTCTATCTAAAAGTATTCTCTATTAGTTTACAACTTTGATAGAAAAAAATTTAATATTCATATATGTTCTAAATTTATTCTTGAAAGTGTTTATAGCTATATTTAGAAAGGATGTTAAATTTTTAATTCAAGCACTTTTAGATATTAGAATCTCAACATGTTTTATAAATAAAGACTTTCTATTATAGTAAGAATTAATATTTTCAAAAAAAATTCAACCATCTCCAATAAAGTTATTGATGGATAACTACTTGCATCTAGAGATATTGTAGAAGAAGCCAAATTATTGAAAGTAGTATTAGAAGATCAAGTATCTAATATTGTCTTCAATATTATTTAATTTCTTTTAAATCTAGTGATACTTACTTTCTCTTGGTTTGAATTACATAATATTAATATTGACTAAAAATTACAAAGAAAAATTACAAGATCTAATTTTAATAATAAAAAATTATCTCAATATTTATTTATGGGAGTCAAGGTATTTATATAAGCTATAAATAATAGAAATACACTTGTCATTTTTGCAACATTAAGTCTTAATTCAAATGACAATTACAATAAAATCCTAAAGTAGAATAAAAAA